ACTGGGTGGGATTGGCTTGCCGGCCATGTGACTGGGTGGGAGAGGCTTGCCGGCCATGTGACTGGGTGGGATTGGCTTGCCGGCCATGTGACTGGGTGGGAGAGGCTTGCCGGCCATGTGACTGGGTGGGAGTGGCTTGCCGGCCATGTGACTGGGTGGGAGTGGCTTGCCGGCCATGTGACTGGGTGGGAGTGGCTTGCCGGCCATGTGACTGGGTGGGAGTGGCCCGCCAGCCATGTGACTGGGTGGGCGTGGCCAACTTGTAAAATGTGGTAAAATTCACTTAACAACACTCTTGCTTAGCAACCAAAATGTTGGCTCAGAAACTCTGGCATTTGAAGCATGCAAGTCTTAAAGCTATCAAGTTACAAGACCCTTGCACCCCTAACCCTTTAGAAAAAACCCCCAGAGTTGTTCAAATTTGACAGCTTTAAAACTTGTGGACTTCAACTTCCAGAATTCCTCCTCTCACTCTTCATCTTGATGATGTGCAGACGGGCAGGGGGGAGGGAGCTGGAACTGGTTCTAAACGGCACTGTAGATTTGTGGAATCTCTTCTATAGAAGAGGTTAGAACTGACAGGAACCCACCCCTGGCTTCTTCCTTTTTAGGAAAGAAGACAAATTCCTGAATAAAATTTGTTATCTTGCCATTTGATATGGATGGAAAGACGGTGACCAAAGACTATACACATTATAATGTTAAACCACAGTCCTGTGGCCTCAAGGATTCCTTTTGGCAGAGAAAGATCTTAGTCAGTTTGTTTCCTCATCCTGCTCACTGTCACATTCTTTCAATTTTCCCATCCCCAAAAGTTACTTGATCCTGACCTTTCATGGTTTCATGTGTTACTGGAAAGACTGGAAAGAAAGAGAACACCCTAGGCAAGGTAATCTTTTGTCTAAAGTGACCACTTGACCAAAGTTTATAAAGATACATTATATGCAGATAATTGCCCAAGGTTAACCTCAATCAGGTTAAAAAGAACTAAAGATCTTTTTGTTTGGATAAGACTTTACTGAATTGGGCAATAAAGAGAAAGAGAGAGATCTTCAGTATTCACATAGCAACAATCCTGAAAGAGTTGAAGTAGTGGTCTTACTTCTGAGTAGACATTACACTGAAAATATTAAAAAAATAAGTTCACTTTTCCCTGCAGGCTCATGGTTTGTGAGGTTGTTTGCAACTTTTTAGGTATACAACAACGTTTCAAAGTAGAGACTGTGGTTTGAACATCCAAATATTTTTAAAGTATTAAAACAATCCCTTTTGAATGTGAAACCATTGTTCCAAATCTGAAACAACTACTTTAATGCCTAGATGGATAGATAAATATTAAATAAGTGATTGGAGAGTTATTATATTAATTATAATTGTAACATGAAATCAAAATTAGTTTTTATTCTTGTCCCAACTACTATTTGGTGGGTGATTCACAACACCCAAAAATGTTGGGTTGGACCCTCAACCAGGAATAAGGGATATGTATAGAAATTAGTTTATAAGTATAGAAATTAGTAAATAGTCTTGCTTCTCATAATCTACACCCTTGAATTATCCTAGAATGAAGAAATTCTTGGGCAGAAAATAAGTCTAATAAATCTGGAAGATGCTAGGCTGGGCAAGACTGAGCTGGATAAACAAGTCAGAAGCTGATAACAGCTGGCAGTGAATTCTGTATGTGCAATTTCAACTGTGTTATCAGGTTTACATTAAGTTCCTGAAGCAGAAAAAACTAGTGAGCTAGATAAACTAATGCTGCCTAATCTTTTATACAGATTGCGATTGAACTACAAGAAATAGCAAGAAATGCAGACAAGGTTTAAAAGGATTTTCACTGGACTTTATAGAGTAACCACAGAACATAGTCATACCATTTTTAAAGGAAAGGTCATATAATTGCTATTTTATGTATTGTTCTAAAGCATGTGCAAGCCCTAATCATTGTTTGCTAAGCATATTATAATTGGTTTGATAAACATATTACACTGAGCCTTTAATCATGGTTTATAATAGTTGGATTAATATGATATCTTACATAAAAGCTAAATAAACCATCTTATGACTGCACAATCCATGAATCCATCTTTTGTGATTTAGTGACTTTTAAGGTAAGTCAAATTGCTCTGCTTAAAAACAGGAATCATTATTTTTATAAGAAGGCTGTAATTTGTCAGCTGACAAATTACAACAAACAGGGAAACATAATTTATCAATATACGTGTAGATAAAACAGTTTTAGCTAAATCCTTGCTTAGTTGGGGCACACGATAGCCTGTAACTTTACATATTTACCTCCTTCAGGTTAGACATGCATCACATATCTGCATTATGTGAAAATGAAATATAATGAATCACTTCACTAATAAGCATTTTCATACCAAAAATCACACAGAACAGTAATACATACCATGCTATGGCCTTGCTCATTTATGCCTCATATAATACCTACTAGGCAATTAAAAGAAACTTTAGCATAATTGACAAGGCTATTACGTATATAATTTTAAATCCCAGGAACAGTTCATAGAAAGAATTTAGAAAGTCAAATCTTTTTTTTTAAAGGAAAAAAAAACACTTGAAAGAACAAATGATACTGGATACCTAACGCACGTCATTCATTGACTTTTTTTTTATTTGTCTTTCCTAGCTGGGCAAATCAGCTTTTAATTACACTAAGCAACCAATCTAGATAACTCATGGCGCTCAATTTTTATTGGGTCCAGATGGCTCATTTCTACAGGTAGTCTTCAACTTACGACCACTATTGAGGAAAAATTTTCTGTTGCTAAGTGAAACATTTGTTAAGTGACTTTTGCTCCATTTTAGTACCTTTCTTGCCCAGCTTTTAAGTGAATCACTGCAATTGTTAAATTACTAATATGGTGCATTGGATTTCCCCTCTGACTTTGCTTGTCAGGTTACAAAATGCAATCACATGGCCCCAGGACATTATAACTGTCATAAATATGAGTCAGTTGCCAAGAATCTGAATTTTGATTACAACACCATGGGGATGCTGCAGTGGTTATAAGTGTAAAAAACGGTCATAAATCAGTTTTTTCAATGATGTAACTTTGAATGATCACTAAATGAACTGTTACAAGTTGAGGACTATCTGTACATTCATTTTCAACCAGCCACTTTGGATCCAGCGCAGGGTCATCTGGCAGCCAGGAGCAAAGAAGGCAACTCCCAGATCAAAGCAATCATCCCAAATACCAATGTAATGGCAAGATGTCAGAAACCCGGCTTCCCATCACAATTTAGGATTACAGGTAAACCTTGATTTACAACCACAATTGTGCCCAAAATTTATGTGCCTAAGTGAGACATTTGTTAAGTGAGTTTTGTTCCATTTTATGACCTTTCTTGCCACAGCTGCTAAGTGAATCCCTGGCAGTTAAGTTAGTAACTCAGCTGTTAAGTGAATCTGGTTTTCCTATTGACTTTGCTTGTCAGAAGGTTGCATCACATGACCCCGGGACGCTGCAAACCGTCATAAATATGAGTCAGTGGCCAAGCGTCTCAATTTTGATCAAATGGCAGTTAGGATGCTGCAACCGTTGTAATTGTGAAAAACCCTCCTGAGTCACTTTTTCAGGGCCCTTGTATCTTTGAACGGCCACTGTTGTAAACCGAGGACTGCCTGCCACCCTTTCTACCTAGCCTCCGATACCACCCATCAAACGGACACCACCACCTTTCAAGGCTGCTGTGAGGATTAGGGAGAAAGCAGAGAAGCGCCTCGCCCAACCCTTGAGACTTCCTTCTTGCTTTCTCGGGGTGGGGGGGGGGAGAAAGAGGGTGGGGCATAGAATTAAGACCCTCGAACCACAACGTTCCATCCATGGAACCTTCATCCCCGAAGGTTCTAAAACTCACTCACCAGCCTGGGAATTGGCAGCTGCCGAACTGCCTGGGGCCGGGCAATTGCAACGCGGAACTCCGGCGGTAGCCGAGGACGAGGCGAGGAGGGCAGAAGGCGAGAGGGCTCTCCTCCCTGGAGCCGGCGAGCGGAGCAGCATCGTCGAGGAAGAGGCAGAAGAAGGAGTGCAGCAGAGGTTAGACAGGACGGAACACAAAGACCTCAGAGAGTTTTGATACATAATAACGCTACGGCACGCGAGACGGAGCTCTTGGAAGAAAAAAAACACCCCAATTTAAATGAAAAAGCTCCGCGTCGGGAGCGGTCTAAAGCTAAAGCTAACCTGCTGCTCTCTATGCCAAAGACCGACTTCTTCCTGCCTTTCAGAGCCCGCAGGAGGGGCGCGGATTGGAAAAAGGGCTTCGGTGGCAGAAAGATGCCAGCCTAAGGAGAAGCCCACGGAAAACGCCGCCTAATAGCCGGGAACGTGAACACGAGCACCAGAAGTACAGTAAACCCCCCCCCTCCCACCCTCTTGCCGGTATTGACGCAAGCGCACCTTCCAAGACTATAAGGCGAGGGCGGGGGGGGGGGAGAAAGAACTGAAGTGTTTCTCCCCCGTCTCCCTCAACTCGACGAACGGCGCTCCCGCGGACGGAAAACGCGGAGCGAGGCTAAGAAGGGCAACTTCCACGCGAGGGGACAAACAGAGAAGGAAAGCTTGGGTTAAACGGCCCCCTGCGTGTTTCTTCCTTCCCTCTATCGGAAAATGGTACGTTCTAATCTTGGCACCGGAGTCCCCGAAAAAGGGCTGCGGGTTACGTCATACGAACGTTGACTCGTCGGGTAGGGGTGGGAGCGGGGGTGTTGGCCGGAACCTCCCCCTATTTTCGCGCTCGTGGGAAGGGGAAGGGGTGTTGTCTCCCGGCTGATCGAGGTCACGCGGCGTTTGGCTTTGCCCTTTCATCCCATTCATTTTACTATTCTCATTTTGTGGAGGAAGCAGTTCTGGGTGGAACAAGCTGGCGAAAGCTTTCGATTTCCTCTTCGCGATGTTGAGAGCTTCGCTCGGAATGAGAGCTGAAGTCCTGCATATCTTACTAATATGTCCAACTTAAAAAAATAATCATCATCATACCGCTACTGTAGAAAGAAACAGTGGATTTCTTTGTACCTTTTTATTTTTAAAATCCAGAGATTTCAAGATAAATCCCAGAATCTCCAATCCTTTGGCATTTAAGGATGTAGTTCCGACACATTAGGAGGCCAGCAATTGGGGGTGACTATTTTATATATAAAAAATACCCAGCTATAAAAACATGCCTCATACAACAAAACAAACGTCATGCCTGAAATTTCAGGTACAGAAGCAACTTCATGCATATATAAACATACATTGGGAGGGACATATTGAGTAAGATTGGATTAGGATTTTTTTCCCTCCTTACTAATCAGGAAACACACTGAAAAATGGGGTGTGATGTTTTGGAAGAAGGTTCTCTAAGTTATTAATGTTATTAATGTTACTAATGAATTACTTCTTGAATGGAATGTAACTGGTAACACTTTTAAAACCACAATTAATTTCATAGTAAAATATGACTTTTCCGATTAATCTAACCTGTTTTCCCGAAAATAAGACCTCCCCAAATAATAAGCCCAATCAGGCTTTTGAGTGCATGCGCTAAAATAAGCCCTCCCCCCAAACTCAGCCCTCCCTGAAAATATTGCAATCCAGCAGCAGCCATGAGGTGACCATGCTCCCCGCCTCCTACACCCCAAAAATAATAAGACCTCCCCAAATAATAAGCCCAATCAGGCTTTTGAGTGCATGCGCTAAAAT